TAAAAAGAATGTAAATTGAGTTTGTGCTGTAGTTCTTTCATTTGAGTATACAATATGTTTTGTGATGAAAATTCTTCTACAAAACAATTTAATACTTGACACTTAATTATATTATACTGCGTTTTAACATAACCAACTCATATACATATGTTGTTTTGTAGAATTTTAATTGTGTCTAATCTTTGGAAATATAAATATATAAATATTTTCTTTAGGTGTACTATCATTAAAATGTTCTCTTGAATATTTTTTTTCATTTTCACAAAGTAATAAAGTATTGACTTATTAAATTTATAGGTGTAAATTATTTTTACTCGTCATAGTGATTATTTATTATTTACTAATTCACTATCGGTCAGTGAACCAATACTAATTTGAAGTCTGCCGAGATAAACAAAAAACATTTTCATTCAGCTTAATTTATTATTTTGAAAAATGTAAATTAGTTTTTTTCAATTGAAACTATTTCAAATAGTTTATCTTATAATTAGTAATTTGTTCATTTTGTCAAGCATACACTATGATTCTAATCAAAGATGGTTAGTGGCTAGCAGTGAAATCCAGGACTCACGTTTTGCCTATTTGAGACTCGTCAACTTGACGTACCTCCACCTTAGAGTTGATGTTCAGTCTCGGACTCGAACCAAGAACCGTAGACTTCACCTCACTGCACTAGCAAGTGGCCACCAGGACTCAGTAGCTAAGTGGATAACGCGATGGCGTTTGAATTGAACGATACGGTGTTCGAGTCTCGGAGTGAACATCAACTCTGAAATGCAGGCACATCCAACTGACGAGTCTCAAACAGGATGAAACGCGCGTCCTGGATTCCACTGCTAGCCTTTATCTATCTTTGCGCATAATGCTTGTGAATTAAGTCAATATCGAGGCAATCCACATAGTATGCACATATGCCAATAAGAGATTGATCAATTGAAGTCTTAAATATCAATGGGAATATTCAAGTAAAGGATACCAAGTGAAGTGATACACTAGAATAAAAAAACAACTGAATAAACAAACACCAAAATACCTATTTTACTTTTATAGAAAACGAATATTATATAGTGGAATAAAAGTTTACTAACAGCAGATATTCTACAAAGCCGGATTCGAAAAGGATTCATTCTTGAAACGTCGTATAATTTTGCTGTTATTCAGACAAGTATTGAGTGAGTAAAACAAAAATATTTGTGAATAGGAATTTTTGAATATCTTCATTATTTACCACTGAAAAAAGAACAAGGAAATAGTAGGTCATTTATTCGTAACCTCTTTTAAAAAAAGACTGGATGGGTCTTTAAGAAGAAGTAGATTCATAAAGGATACATTCATTGAATTATACAGTTATTTCATTAGACTTAAGTGTGTTGAAAACAACTAAGTTCTTTTTTCAGTGTCCCAGTCACAGAATTACCTATAAATATTATAAAAATGGTTTGTAACTAAATTTGACAGAATTACAGAAAGCACATCACGTACACTTCCAGACACTGGTAAGAAGGTAAAAACATCATGATTAACAAAAATTAATGTCAAAAACTTGAGAGATCTGAATTGACGAGCAGTTCGCTCAATTTATACATTTGGTTCACAGATCAAACCAGTATGAACAAAAAAAGTAATGACTAATTTTCCATTGATAAGTAGATCAATAAATGTGTATCTATTTGATAGTTGGATTCATGAGTCATTTTAAGCTAGGTCATTATGGAGAATCTGGAAGCACTGAACGACCACTTAGGCCTACTATAGGATTCCTCAGCAATGAGCACCCATGAGGGACTTTAACCAAGGACCTTAGGACTCTCGCGCGAACGCTTATGCTCTAGACAAGCGAGCCAGCATTTAACGGTGTTAATGTCTAACTTCAACCAACCCAAAATATTACGCGACCATCCAGCAATGTCTTCAGTGTGTGCATCAAATGACTGACATCATATTTTTGAGATATAATTTCAGGGTTTTGGTGAGCTTGCATCAGCATAAGTATAAAAAATACTGATTAAATCTTTAAGTCACCACAGACTTTCATTCTTAACTGACCAGAGATATATCAGGAAAATAGATAAAAACAATTTAACTTTTAAATCAAATTCCAAATAATTTATAAAACAGTTCTTGACTATATCATCTGTACACTATAGAAGGAATGGACACATTTGACAATAATATTTATCTCTACCTATAATAAAAATATCTAACTCAAATTAAATGATTGTTTTAGATTCATAAATAAATGATACCCTACGTCTAATTCTTTTATTTAAGCTTTCTCCTCTTCCTTACATTCTTTACAGTTCTACACCATATGTTATTATTATTACTGCTTTTTAATTGATATAACTTTCTCACTGTGTTTTCTTTTTTTTTTTTTGTATTTCACAAGTTACAACTTGCCATTTTATAACATTTGTTATAAGCTACAACCAACACATTTACACATAATTAAAATGAACTGATATGACCTTTTATTTAGAATCTCACTAGTCTTTTACTGTATAGACGTATGTTAAATTAAAATAGACACTAACTTGTTTCTTAGTGTTTTCAATACATTGGACGTAAACTGATTCAATCGAAACTGTTTGTTATGAATAAAGTATTTATGCTTTATTATAAACTAATATTAACTAGGTAACCATTAAATATCAGCGAGCAATGAGTACTAGTTATTGTTTTTGTGAAGGCTTTGGTATACATTGTTAATGAATTCTTTACTAGGTTAAAACTACTATCCAGTATTTTTTAATTTTCCATGGTCTCTTAATTAATACGAATTCATTAACAAAATAATCTTTACATTTTACTCAGAGAAACAATAACTTGACGAAGTATGAAGAACTAGATAAACATAAAATTGGTCATTACGCAATGATTAACCAGTTGTGAATATCTCTCAGTGTTACAGAAGGTTAGTTGTAGCTAGAATCACTTAAAGGTAACGTTTCAAACTATGAACATAGATGAAGCATGAATAAATCATCAGTCTCTGCAAGATTAAATGTACGGCTTATTGATTTGTATTAAAAAGCATAAAATCTAGGCCGTGGGGTTCCTGTCGGTTACATCAAACTACCTAACATTTTTATATTATTTACTGATTCATAACTTTAGAAAATTAAGAACTTGATTAAAAGCAGATAAATTCATTATTGCTAATAATTTGTAGTAAGAATCCATTAATTTTATTTATATAATGGTATTAGTTAATTCTTAAAAGAACACCATCCATTGTTACTAAATGATCTATTCTTTTAAATAATATCATTCTGACTATATCAGTCTGAGGTATTTTTCGTTGACGTAAAACAAAGCAAAAAACCATTTCAGTGAAAAGTTTGATAGTTATATTCATCTAAAATCATTTTCCGTAAAAACTATTCAGCCAAATGGAAGATGTCAGGATACAAAAAGATGAGTAAATCATATGATATGAAAATGTTGATTTGTTTTGATAGTGTAGTCTATTCGTTTGTTTAGGTTTTTACAATGACTGTTTTAGTGAGGTAGGTAAAGTTTCAATATTCAGACAAGGGTAAGTGTTCTCTCTCGAATTATTGATGGTTTGAAATACATAAAGATTTAGGTAGTGAAATTGATAATGTGTAAAAAATAATTAAGGTTGAAAATGTACTGTATGATTGAATCAATCAAATTTGTAAAAGCAATAAGCTTTAAAAACTAATATTGATAATCGATTGTGAGACAACAAACTTCGAATAAAATATCACCATAAGGTATGTATTATTCGTGTGACAAGCAAACTAACGAAGAATGATGTTGTATCGATTTGTAGATATATTTAAAAGTTATCCGCCCTAAGGCAATTTGTAACCACAGTATAAATGAATTAGGATATTTATATATGAACATTTTATATGTGAACATTTTTTAAATTAAGCACCGACGCTAGAGAAATTATTTAATATCAATAATATTGAGCCAAGGAACCAGGCTATAGTTTACATTATAATCATCGTTTTCCTAAACTGAATGAAAACATTTCTGTAAAATGCTTATGCATTAGTGACCTTTGATCTGACTCCAATTGGATCGTATGTTGAATCGCTATTAAATGATTGCAATCGAAATATATATAACCTTCAATCCTCGTATATTTCATCGGCTTCAATTGCATTAGTGAATAACGGAATTGAACAAGTCGAATTTTGTATACTCATTGATCTGGGCAGGCAATCAGAGAGACAAAGCGATGGAAGCGAAGACAGTGAAGCGAAATGACGCGTCGTGGAGAAAGAATGTGAGCAAACTTCATTTAGTCAAGCGTTAATCAATATTTATAGCCAGATAAAAATTAGTTATAGATATGTGATGAATAGAATAAGAAGTGTACACACATACGCTCATAAAAAAACGGTTAAGGTTGATAAGTGAATAATTAACAGGGTCAAAATGTGACTCAGGAAGAATGGATAAATTGGTCTGTCCAGAATCTAGAATAAGTTATATGAACTTAACATAGCAACTGACACTACAAAACTTTACACAGTTTAATATTTTATTTTACCATAGATTTGGGTGGATAACCTTGTAAAATAAGCATTCATGCTCTTATCTATACAATACCTCGCTTGCTCTTCTAATAAACAGACTTTTGGTTCAACATATGATATGATCCGTTGAAGTTTACGTATAAGTTTAAAACAAACGCGACCACGATCGTGGAAATATAATATGGAGCCCTTACATTAAATCTGATATCCCACGACAAATAGTTGTGCCCAATCGAAATGTATGATGTAACTTACTGCATAATTAGTTTAATGATGAATACCATTGATATAAGATTTTTAAAATGAATAGTCTTTACGGGTTTTTATTGAACGAAAAATCATGTTGGTTTATCTGATAGTCCAAAGAGATAAGAAACATCTCCCTACATTCTATCCTCTAACCTCAATAATATTCAGCTTAAAAATAATTATGCTTTATAAACACTACTAACTTTGAAGCTATATCCTTTTTTGGTTATTCAGTTTGGAATTCGTTGGCCAGTATCACGAACATTTATTTCATCTTCACAAAATCCCGGTAATCGAGTATTCAGTGAAATTTTAACTACTGACACAACATCAGTTAAAGATTCAAATGGTGTAACTGGAGATTATGATGCAATTTCAGCTACTGGTAGTGGATTACTTGGTTTAGGATTAAGAGATACATCTATGCTTGATTGTATACATCAATCAAATCTTTTGTTATATCATCCGATATACAGGTAAGAATAAATATATCTTCAGTATACTTTTAGAGTGGAAAATGAGTCTACTTATAAGTAGTTCATGTGAATTTTAAAAATACGCTTAAGACAACTTGGTTGCTGAGCTTGAAGCAGCCTTTTCAAAACATTGAATTTAAAATCGAGGTCCTGAAAAGCGATAATAACCTGTAATGCTTACTTCATAGAACGGAATTATTCAGGTTAAATATTTGAATGTCATCATCACTTCAAGAAATGTTTCTGAACACAGTTTCGTACTCGAGACAAGATGTTATGTATCATCTATTATTGATTAAGGGAATGCTTTAATGAATTTGTAATTATCCAATTATAAGTTGATTTTGCTGCACATTAAAGATTTTACCAGATTGATTTAGCTTATAAATAATTCTATAAGCAGACATTTCTTTTTATTACAATTTATTACTTACAGAATTATTCAATGTTTACTAAAATTCTACAAAATTCATTTTATTTTACTATAGAATTTTCTATGTATCACACGACTCACAAGATTTGAAGATATTCAGCTATATAGCAAGAGACAGTAGAACAAGCGTTTTTAGATGCAATGTATTTAAGGCTTACAAAAAAGTAAGACAAGCTAAATATTTTTTAAATTTTATTATTAACCGTTGAATTCACAAGCCGATCTATGATAGATCATCATAAAAACCTGGAAGCACTGGATGGCCGGTTCGTCTTAGTATGGGACTCTTCAACAGTGTGCGCGAATGCTTAACCTAAACTGTTAGAACTACTACATATCCCCTTATTGATAATTTTATTATTTTTAGAGTGATAAGTTTACAACAATTATTCTATTTGTATATGAGTCACATCACGTAACAATTAAAACCAGTCGATCGTTAAAAACTGGGAAGTACTAGAAAATCTATTATATCCTAGTGTGACATTCAGGCATGTGTATACGCTGACTTCATCAAAAATCGAATTCAGATGAGTCATACAAGAAAGATACAACTATTCAGTAGTTTCTAGTTTTGAGCAGTTAACTAATTTTAGCTACTACCCATCTCTAGTTATAATGCTTGTGAATTAAGGCAATATCGAGGCAGTCTGCACAGTATTTACATATGCCAATAAGAAATTGGCCAATTGAAGTCCTAAACATCACTGAGAAGATTCAAGTAAATAGTACCATGTGAATTTGAATACCTTTCTGTCTTATTGTCTACAAAATAGCAATCATCAAACTGATCTTAAATTTTGTATAGTAAATGAGAATTTTACATTCTTTTCCTCAAAACATTCAGAAAATCAATTGTAGTTACAAAGTGATTAAAATGTTAACTTTGTGAATCTAAGAAACCTATTGATTAAAACAACTTTATGTAACAATTTTATAATTTGAAACAAAAGTTGTATGACTTTTATGGTTAAAAATAGTTAATTTTGTTCAGATATCTCGTATTCTTATTTTAAATAAGTAAGGCAGATATCATCCGATAGCGGAAATAAACAATGACCAAACAATATTGTTTAGAGATAAATGTTAAGAAAAATAAAGTAAATAATCCTAAGCTATTATGATTATTACGAGATCGGAAGGCTATAGTTTCGCTCCCAGTGAACTGTCATAAATTCAAACTAATAAAGAATTCCAAACTAGAATGAAGAGACTATCATGTATTTCCTGGTGTTTCCATAGACTATTCAGCTGATTTCATTTAGCTGTAGAAACTGACTTGGAATTGAACAACCTTCAAAGGCTTTCATGTCAAGAACGGTAAATGATATATGGATCGATTTTTGACATTTTTTAAAGATACATTCATAAGAATGATTTTAAACACTGATAAGAGATAATGTATATTACTAAGAGATTATATCATGAATGATTAAAGATTTGACTAACAAACAGAAATCCAACATATTTTTGAAATGGAAAGTGTATACCGGATAAAGAAATTAACTTTTGAGTGTGTAGTTAAAGAACCAGATAACTTTATAGACCAATCAATCCATTAAAAAACACCAAATAGTATGACAATAAGATTAAAAGAACACCTACACAAGTATATTAAGATGTAAAAAAACAGAAAAGTAGAGGAATATAAATTCTGATTTCCAATGCTGATGAACACTGTATATATGATGGTTGAAATAAACTGACAGAAATAATGAATAATTAAGAACAGTACATATTTCTAGATATTTTGAAGATATATATCAAAGACTGATATTAATTAAAGAGCTCATGAAAATTGTACAGTATTAAAATGTTGCTTCAGCTCAATATGTAACACATTGTTAATGCATATTCACCAACCTAAACTCGTCTAACAATGAGATCTACACACTCGGACAATTCAGTCAAATAATAACAGTTTATATTTTCTATTTTGGTTAATTTATAATAACGTATGTACAGACAAGTTTGCTAGACGAACCGTTGGAATTATTTGAATTCCAATCGCTGAGATTATTTCAAATATAATTTTCACATATAATGACTTCTCTATGCTCGGCGCCCGATTTTTGTAAACTATTCGTTTTAATATTGACGAATACTTGTACAAATGTATGTTTGTCTTTGTTAGTAAACATGAACTCTTTCAATTTGAACTAACTCTTGAGTATATATATATATATATATATATATATATATATATATATCATTCCCATTAGTTACAAGCTATGCGAATAGTCAGAACAGTTGGTCAAGCATTTGATGTATGTCATCGAATTGCTCTACAAAAACAAGGCCAACAACTAGAAACAACCGAAAGCAATAATAATGATAATAATGCTGATGAAAATGGTGAATCTGACCAAGAGAAAATAGAAAAATCTGACAAAAAAATAACTTCTGTTAACAATATTGATAGTAATAAATTAGATGATTCGAATAAATCAACAAAACATAATGGTGATTTAAATAACCATAAAACAAAATCAAAACATAAGCTTAAACAACATAAAACAGGTAAACACGAAAAATCGATTAATTTGAAAGATGATCGTAATTCTACATCACAAATACGTAAAATAGAAAAACATAGAGATAAGAAAAATACCCATGATTCTACTACAAACGATGATGGTGATGATAATGGGGATGATATCGAAAAAGTAAACAAAGAAGATGAAATCAAGAAATCACATAAATATCACAAAACAAAAGATCTTTTAGATGATTTAAGCAAAACTGATAATACGTTGGTTGATATAGAACCTGTAGAACTGATCAATGAATCTATTGAACTGATCGATATTGATCATGATATGAGTAAATCTTTAAATAATTGTATACAAAGCAAAAATAGCCAACAAGAAAAATCTTGTCATAAATCTAAGTCAACTATACATCAACAAAAATCATACAGAAAAAAGAATACATCTAAATTTTCAAGTGGTTCAGAAACCGAATCATCTCCATGTGTTCATAACCATTCAAGAGAGGATTCAGAAACTTCAAGATCTTCTAGACAAACAGCAACATCAAATTCATCTGTTAACAGTCGTATAATGTCAGATCATTCTATATCACATGCTAGTTCACTTAGTTCAGTATGTTCTAAAGAAAAAATACAAGTTCGTAATAGACATGAACATCATAAACATCATAAACGACCTACCAGTTCACATAAAAGTACTAAATTAAAGACAAGTATTACAACTCGTGATTTGGTATGGATGTTACAAACTGGTGAGGATAGAAATGAGAAAACAGATTTATTCACAAAAGAATTATTATCATTATTTACTGGCAATACTGCTTCAACATCATTATTGTTAGAACAAGGAAGGAGAATGCATCAAAGTAGATCATTAGATACAAATGTTGCCAGAGATTTGCTCAACGAAAGTAAATTGAAATTAAAAAATTTTTAATATATTTTGGAGTGTTTAAATTCCCATTTTCGTCACTTCTTATGTTGTACTTTTTGTGTTGAGTACTTGTTAACTCCACATTTAAGCATTAGTTAGTCAAGGTATAACAAATTTTACAACGAATTTATGTTTATAAGATGAGATGGATTATGGCTTGCAGTGGGACCCAGGACGCACGTTATATCCTATTTGGGACTTGCCAATTGAATATCCTTGTATCTGATTTGATGTTCACCACTGGACTCGAACCCAAGACTCTTCCTTAAGTAGTACAAAACGTGTATCGTGGGTTCCATTGCTAATCACCAACCATCTCCACTTAAAAGTTATTGTGACTCAATGGAATCATCGGGGCAAATAGTACCATTTTGAGGCTATTCTGGCTACTGAAGAACAAGTAGATAATGCTTTAGTACTGAGAGCCCTGATTTAGACAAACATCATTGGATTACCGATGTTCGACAATACAATACAATACATTACAATACAATACAGTCCAAAGATGTCCATTAAGGTATACTAAAGATCATTATCCAACCATGGAGATCACTTGTAAATACTGTTCCTAACCTTAAGCTTCACTCTTGATATCCCAGCAATATCTGTGGCGAAGACTTCTGATTAATATACGGTCAAGTTAAATAAGGTGAAGAAACAGTTAGTTAGTTAGCTGGAAGATAAGAATGCTAAATTTGAATATGTCACTTCATTACACCTTTATAGATTTGTATTGTACATTTGTATTCTACATGAGACGTAGGATGTATTTCGAGAACTCTAAATGAAACTCTGATAGTTCGTATTATGTGACTTTCGTTTGTCATTTAGACATTAAAACCATTGAATGCCGGCTCAGTGGTTCAGTAGGTTAGGCGTTTGCGCGCGAGACTGAAGGCCGTGGGTTCGAACCCCTGGATCGTGGATGCGCACTGCTGAGGAGTCTCACTATAGGACGTAACGGCCATCCAGTGCTTCCAGGTTTTTAATGGTGGTCTAACATCAATCGGTTCATGATCCCAATCAAAAACTTAACAATCTCCACAACTTCTAAACTGATCGACAACTATTCGATTTAGATTAGGAGTCCTCATATGTCTAAGAACATGACGTCTTTACAGATTGAACCAAAAATATCCAAGTTCCATGATTAGTTATAAATCCCTGAACAACCTAAATGATGTAATGTGATGCTCATTTGTAGTGTTATATCCTCGAGATAACTTCCATACTGCTTATATCGATTGCTCTGGTGATAACCGTTATTACACTAAATCCGAAGTTTGTATAATCTTCAGAAGGCAAATGTGAAGAGTGGACTAGTTTATTTTAGCACAGCACAGGTTAAAAAATCAGTAACACACGGCGCGAGTTCAAGATAAAAGTGCGAATAAGAACATAAATAACAATGAGAATGAATTCCTAGCACATGTACCAAGTCATCAAGTGATTTAAGTAACTATCCTTTAAGGTAGTAATAGGAGTGTTTATAAGTGCCGTAACACACCATCAACCGCATATGTTAAACCAAGCATGGAAATATATGGGTAAAAAAGTAGGCAAGTTATTACTGATAAAACAATACTGTCTGTCGAATAAGTTGATTAAAGTGCCTGGCAAATTTAAACATATTCAAACTCAAGTAGAGATAAGGATGATACACATCATTAACTTGATTTGATTGGAGACATGGTGTAATGAACAATCAATCTCATAGGTGATGACTCATTTTCTTATGAATGCGATTAACCGAGATCTTCATAAATCACCTGAAAGTATTTTATTAATGTGCAAATAAAGTAGTAATCAGCGTTTACGGACTCCTGAATTGTAAAATATACTTGTTAACAATCGGTAAAAAAGGAATCCTAGAGATGGCTCTTGGTTATGAACATTTACATTCGAAATATTGATTTCACTCATCAGTTTGATTTCCAAAATAATGATTATCTGTTTTTTAACTGTTGTTTCCTTTCTTCAATTTACAGGTTCTTTACAAAGTCCGAATGATTTATCGAACACTCTATTAACTGAAAGTGCCTTGCCAGAAACATTATCCACTGATCAAAAATCAATTGGTACAGTATTCTCTGAAATGACAAATATTAACAGCCTTTGTCAATATCAGTCAAATACGCCAATACTCCCTAATTCCTCTGTGGACACCAGCTTACATCAAGTAAAACCGTTTAGTTTATGATGTTTAAGAAGTTAATAACATATCGTAAAAACCTAATCTACTTTGATCATATTATTCTTTTTAGCCTTATTTGAGCTGTGTTTATTGATTTAATTCATTAGAACTGATAACAAGACCTCTAAAAAATATGTATTCATAATAAAGTAAACAAATGAGTTCGCAACGCACATTCAAGTCAATTAGGGTTATGCAAACATATCATCTGATATATTTAACTACCATGACAAAAGTCTTAGAAAAAATCTTTGATCTTGTTGTGGTTCATATGAAGGACTGACCGAAATTAGAAAAACACTGAGAAATAGGGAGTACTGGACAACTAGTTTATTCTAATATGGGACTGCCCAGAAGTACACACTCATGATCCTATCAAGGATCGAACCAGGACCTTCAGGTCTCACTGAGAGCACTTAGTCTTCAAAGTTAATTCCTGTAAATGAAGCGAGAATATAATACCAGTGAAGTCCCACCATGTGGGATGTGAGAGAGATACCTACCAATGACACTCAAATATGGTTGGCTGATATCATGAGCTGACAACTCAATGATTTGAATTTTGATCCACCATAGGATCATAGATTCTCATTATTGAAGAGTCCTGACTTTGTTAGATGTCTAACTGAAATCGCAGTTCGTGATTTAAGCAATGACAATTTAACAATCATCACAGAACCCCTGTAACAATAATCTTGGTTTGGTTTTCTTCTATAGTAAAAACTTGAGTGTAACCAGTGTAGGAAAACACTTTTAATTTATGCTAAACAAATACAGAATAATGAATGCTAACTGTTAGGATCCACTTATGGATAAATACTATACATATATTTTTTGCATAATTGTTAAGTGGCTAAACTATGCATATTCATGTTCCTATTATTATAAGCTTTATTTTGACCTATAGGCTATTATTATTAGATTTGCCGTTCTTGAGTTATGCCCAGTCTATTAATTATGGTCTCCTACATTCACAGTCACTTTTCGCTAAATCTTGTACAAATGTTGTTTTCTATTTTTTGGTGCGATATGATCCGTTTCGTTTGTATATAAAGCCAGTATGTTTGAAATACATGATTTATATCGCAGAGGATGATATTGGTGTTCTGGACTCAACAGACAGGGCTAGAAGAAGAACTGATAAGGACCCTAGAGTGCTCGTACAGGATACGCGTCATTCGTACGGTCGATAAATCACTGTTCTCTAGTCGGCGGTATCATTACGTCATATATTAATAGGGCACAAGGCTCACAGTTATAACACCATTGAATTCTGGTTTTATGCTAGAAAAGTGAGGCTTCCACTTCGAATTCAATCGGCGTGATTATAACTTACGGACAAACCAATCAGATTTAAGATAACAGGTTTTTGATTTTAGGGAGAAATTCATTTACTCATCTGACTGAATACCATTTTGGCATTAAACTCGATGTCCATTCATGATGAAAACATGAAATCTAATTTCAGCGAGACTATAATTTATGGACGGACCGATCATTTATAAGATAACAGGACTCGGATTTTGGCGCGAAACTTGTTCATCCATTCAGTTAAATAGAGTTTTGTCATTATAGCTGATGTCACTTCGTGATGAAAACCGTAAATATAATTCCTAACCATAGCCATCAACTGTAAATCATAATTATAATTCCTCACACAGGTTTATAACCTTAATTTGGTCCTAGCTATTAGGTGAACACTATCCATGTCACCGGCGTCACTCAAAGGTCGCCCATAAATTATAGTCTCACTCTAATTCCTAACCCTAACGTTAAACTGTAAATCCTAATCCTAGTTTTTTCACACGAATATGTAACCCCATTAAGTAGATAGTCATTGCAAGATTATTTCAACGTTACTAAAAGGTTATCGTCTAATTTCTCTATGGCTTTCAAATGCAAATATTTGATTAGTATCAAAATGCGTTTTGTGAAGATTGTGGTAGAACAGAGCACAGAACATATGCTCACTAGTGACTGGCTTCAAGAGATATATCCTAGAGTCCTAGTGAGAAGCAGTGACCAGTGGAGTTCAACCGGGTCTGTTGTGAAATAGTAACTCACTGATGACAATGGTGCATATGTCGCTCAATTTCGTGGATTAGTTGAAGTTAGACATTCACACCTTTGGATGCCGGCCCGCTCAGTGGTTTAGAGGTGAAGCGCTCACGCGCAAGACCGGTCGATCCTGGGTTCAAATCCCGCGAGGTGTTATTATAGATGCGCATTGCTGAAGAGTCTCAAAACAGAACGAAACTGCTGTCTAGTGCTTCCAGGTCTCCCACAATGGTCTAGTTTCAATTGACTCATGATCTCAACTACTGCAAACATTTGATTTACCTTTATCCTGATACGATATCTATGTCATTTTAAGATGACATGTAAATACTTTTTTTAAAAGAGAATAGATTTATTTTCCATTGAATTAAGTAATAAAGTAAATCTTTATTATTACTATTATTACCATTATTATTATTATTATCAAATCAAGCATTGCATTAAACAACTTGTCCGTCAAAATTGGGATTTACGTACATGGTTAAATCAAATGTCTGATCGTCTAGAACGTTTAGAATTATTGACATCTAATAAAATGGAACATAATAATCCAATTATAAATCAATCAACAAATACAAACAATATTAATAATAATAATCAAAGTAAATTATTTTCTACTGGAAATGATAAAGTAAGTATTCTATAAATGTTACTTCAAATAAACAATGATTTTATTTAACAAAAGAGAATGTTATAACGATTAGTTTTCCGATGATTACACATATGGGACGTTAATTTACCTTAGATAAATATCTACACTAGATTCCTTCATAGTGTCTATTCTATAAGATTTCAACATAACTCAGATGAAGAACACGCGATTAACCTGACTAGAACCTTAAATATATTTCCACTCCAAAAACCCAACACCATCCAACAACAATGAGGAATCAGTAATAATAATAATAATAATAATAATAATAATAATAATAATAATAATAAGGATAGGGGAATATATAACTCATCTTATACACTTGTCAGACTATTTACATGTCTGACTAAGCAAAAAACCAATCATTATCATTCTCGCCTATACATCAAAGAAATGTAATTTTGTTTCATACATTTGATTGAATAGTATTTTTGTTGTACAGGAAAAACTTGTTATAACTAACTTTTATTATAGTTAGTGTATAACATTAGTAGTTATTCTTAACTGATTGAAAAGCATGAATTAACTTTAAAATGAAATACGGATTTTAAAATATAATCTACAAGGTTAGTGACTTGAGATCTAACTCCATTTTGATTGTATGAATGATTATTGTCGAGTTATCGAAATATATACCCTGGCTACCCTTGTATATTATTATCGACTTAAATCGAGTTGGTGAATAACGGAATTACATAAGTCAAATGCAAGAATGAAGTTTCATTGTGTATATATTTCATACAATCATTGATCTGAACAGATAATCAGAGAAACGGAGGGATAGAAGCGAAGAGTGAAAAGAGAAGCGAAGCTAAATGACACGCAGTGGAGAAGGCAAGTGAATTAACTCGATCTAATCAAGATTTAAATGATATTTATAGTCACACAAAAATAAGCTGCAGATATTTTATGAGTAAGATAAGAAATGCACACACATACGCTTGCACAGAAACAGTTAAGATTGATAAGTGAATAATTAACAATGTTAGAATGTGACTCAAGAAGAATGAATAAATTGACCTCTCAGAAAGCTAGAATAAACTATGTGAGCTTAACATGGAAACCGACACTACATGAGCATAATCTCAATGTTGAAATAGCTTCGTTGCAAGCTACAATAGGTTTTTAGAAATGTTACTTTCCACTTAGTATTACGATAAATAAACTAGGGTAAACATATTCCTATGAATCAATCCCTATTTAGTAATCACGTATAAATCCGAATGTGTTCATATATGTTAATTTTTTTAATATTTCTAAACAAGTTATCTTACAATTTGGAGTATTTTTATTAAGAATACTCTCACACTTGTTCATTTACCAACATGTATTTCAATGACATCACTGAGTATTTCCAGGTTTGGATTTTGTAACATTATTGGTCTTTTTAAAGATAATAGATGTCTGGTCGATATGCAGCGCTTGTCACTTAACTTGGATTTAGAAATTTAGTAGGCTGATTAAAAGCAGTTAAGCATAAAAGATATGGTTCTAACCACCTATTTTTGTAAAAAGGTTTAATTGGTTCTCGACAATAATGCACACAATAGTTTTGATCTATTTGTACTGTGCAACAAGAACTTCAATCTTCTTGAGTATTTAATGCAATACTGTTTAATTATTACATATTATAGAATTCGTCAATGTGATAAAGTCAATTCAGTGGACTTCATATGCTTGTTTAATATTCGTTTTTAGGATATTCGATGAAAAAGTATACACTCAGGAAACCTATCAAATATTTAGGTTTATTTACTGTGATAACATGATGAAGAAAATAGCTCTTCCATAGGTTAGTCAATCATCTCAGTGAGAGCCATTAAAAACTGAAAGGATGTGGCAAGTCCTGAAAGATCATTATCCTTATGTGTTGATGAAAACATCGAATGTTTGTAGTCTTTTGTGTTTTTTGACTACTGTAACTTTGTAAAACAGCCGACAGATTGGAAGCCTAATCACTCAGGGCTATTTAGAATGTTTCAAACAAATGAAAATGGACTGTAAATAAATTTGTCAGAAGTGTAGATTATTTTAAACAAATAAGTCCGTCATATCCTGTTTCGTTACGTTTTACAGTTCGCTCATTTATTAAACATACAAAACATTAAAAAACTATTATTTTGCATGGAATTGTTTTGAATGACATAAAAATGTAGGAATTTTTATTATTATACTAGCATATATGTATCTTTTTTATTTTGTAGTTTATTTCAGATCGTCGATTATTACCTAATTCAGCATCATTCAGTGTACAGTCTGGTAATAAATCAATAACCGATCAAAATGTCCTTACTTCATTATCATTTTCTGGATGGAATAATTCAGTCAATCCAAATAATGAAACAAATTATAAACCTTTAAGCAATTCTAATCCATTTCGAATGCCTCGATCAATTTCAGCTTTAACAGGAACCATAGATGAAATGAATACAATAAAACCTCAATTTAATACATCATATTCAACATACTCAACAAATAAACCAAATATTCCATCATCATTTAATGAAAATTGTGAAATTATAAATTCAAATAATTCCCATATTGCTTCTAAAGAGACAACTAATTTAGAAGATGATGGATTTCTACAGTTAGCCAACAGAAAAGAGGTAAGAATTCAAAATAATTTAAAATGTAATAGACCTTTGAAAATCTATTGATTTTTTGTTATTATTCCTTATATCCTATTGTAAACATTTTTTCTAAAGTTTTTCATAAAAGTAGTGTAGTGAACAAGAACAACAGTGGGGACAAATCAAATGTATTTGAGTACAGAATTACAGGTCATCTCACTAAAATTTGAGAACCATGTAGAAAATCGTTAATTTGCGAAATATCAATCCATCATCTCAAACTTGACTGTTCCTGTTACAAACATCAATCCATTGTCTCAGATTTCATTGTTCATGCGTTTTCATACCAATTGCGTTCTGTTCCCTTTTTTTCTCATCGACCTTCTACCGAAATACATTCTGTGCCGTTATATACTAGTGTGAATATAAGTGACCCACATCACAGTAGTGCTACTCGAGATCTGAACTGTATGAATAAAGAACACTATTGGCATAGATTAAGTTATCTGTAATATAATTTACTATTTGAATTCATTAGTACTTTCAGAGAGAATAAACCATTTAAAGAACTTTAGTAATAAAAGGATAATATTAAAAGAAAGAATTGTATTTAAGCGATTCAAGAGTTTTTAAGTGATTTATAAACTTATGTAGATTCTGTGTAGCTGTTTCCTATTTCAAGTCGAATTTTTATATTAAAACTGGCTTCACACGCATATCATATTGAAGAGAGAAAGAACAAAGATTTCAGCAGAATAACATGAATTCATTTTATTTTGTTTGATTATCGTCAACTGCTTACAACTGTAATATTTAAAAAGAATATTTACAAAATGGGTTCGAATTACCTACATGTAGGGTTTTAATTAAAATTTGTTATGATCATACATTAGCACAGTATGATAAGGATGTAAATAAACTTAGTAGACTCTTCCATTTGGATGTGTGATATTAATCTTTTAATGCTTTTATATATTAGTAAACAATTCTTTAATTTACTCAACTCCACTATAAAATCCAGGTTAGTAAAACTGTGGTGACTTAGCTTCATTAATCAATCACTTTGATAACCGTTATTACATAAATCCGAACGGTTTTTGAAATCAGAAGGCTATTAGAAGTGACTACTACAGCTTATTAGCAGATAGCACAGATAACGACGTCACAAGCACATCGAGTGAATTGTAGCGGAGAGGTTAATGTATATGTTTGAGCGGATACAGAGGTGAATTTATAGTCAAATCGAATCAAGATGCAACCAGGCAAGCCGCAGACTATAAGTAGGATTCGACCACAGATATACATGGGAAAGAGAATGACTCATCGAGCGATATTTGAGCGACCAACATTTAAGCTAGAAAGAGATATGTACGTAGGCTATCACATATCATCAAGCGTACAAGTACATACAGACATGATAGTAATCATAATAATACAAAGAAATAGACGAATTGTTACCGTCCGAACAACATTGTCTGTTAAATGAGTTATTAAAAGTGCTTGACAAAAATCAATCGTAATCAAAATTAATCGTAGGAGCGTTGCTATAAAATATTTGTTGCACAGCTATATGATGATTATAATGTAGCTAAAAGTGTAACTACTCATGTTCCTCGGAGGTTAGTGATCAACTGCCACAATGATAATATCATCTGTCTTTAAGTTAAGATTAAATGGAAGTAAGTTACTTTTCTAATAGATCTAATAAGATAACATTATGTACAAATAAATGATAATTCATCCTGTCTTCCAATCAAGATAGTAATCATTACATTGTTGCATTCTTATGATGGTTAATCGGTACAACATCCATTAAAATAACTATGTACAGCCTTATCAAACTTTAGAAATATATGAATTGATGTACAGACAACGAATAAACATGTCCCTTAATTTTGATAAACCATATTAGAAATTTCTCAAAAACGATCTACTTTTATAGGCTTACATCAAAAGACTAGTCATTGTTAAGAGTTGTTAGTCATTCTATAACAATCTTTCATTATGTTGTTCTTAGATGCATTTGTAAACTCTCAAATACAAATGAGTTCTTCCTCTGATACACAAATGTTGTATTCTAATGAAAGATAATTTTTTAAACAGCATTTATAGTTCAACTGTTAGCAATATATATATATATATATATATATATATACAACATAGATCAAACTATCATTGTTGCTTTATATATTAATATATACATCTTAACTAAAAGTTGAGGTTTGAACTTGATTCGTCCTTATCAAAACTTCTTTTGGGTACATATTCAAATCTGATGACTTTGTCTAAAGTGTAAAATTACCACTTCTTGAAAATGTGATTCCACTTATATATTAACTTGTAAACATTTTAATTGATTAAAAACGTCTAGATAAAAAGGATAAGTTGTTTTCATCCTTGATATCAAATAAATTCTGTCATTTTCATAAAGTGCAATTTACCATGTAGAAACTAAAATAGACAATATCAAGACGTTTACATTTTAAACTTTTCCGTCAATGTTTGAAAGCAATACAAAACTGCTTTATTTTAGTTGGAAATTTCCAGGTAATCTTACATTTAAAACCAATTCTGAAATGAATTACTAATGTTTATCTATCATTCCTACAGATGTATCAGGAAATGGTTTGACTAGTTTTTACATTGATGCCCTGTGAATATTCTGTAGATCGATATGAATGATTTGCTTTTGATCAGTTTTAGTACTCAGTCATTTTACTTTGAATATGGGAGGACTCTAATCGCATATATTTATACATGCCTCATTGATAAGAAGGTCTCATCTGGCAACCTATTATTATTCATTGATAATAACCTTTGACGTGCCAGTTTCTTAAAAAGTAAATATTTTACAAGTGTTAAACAGTACACTTCGTACTAGTTACGTCACTCACAGAAAATAGAACATTTGTTTGATATATTCTTTTCATCAGTTGTCAGAATTTTGAACGTTAACTTTTTATTTTGTCAGGTATCTGAGTTACAGGATAAATTCAAAACATTAAAACATTCTTGGTCAATGAAAGGAGGCAGTAATCTTAGTATTCAAGATCAAATATTTGGTATAAAAGGTTTACCACGTTCAATCAGCGCAGTAAATAGTCCATTAGAGGCTATGGCTTCTGAAACAGCAGTTTCTAGTAGTCAGTTGATGAATCAAACTTGTTCACAAAATAATTGTTTTCAAACAATAAATTTGAATACGAACTGTGCACAAACACAACAACAAAACTCCAAAGGAATTGAACATCAAACCAAAGACGCCATTTCAGTCTCAAATGAAAGAAATGGCACTTCATCCCTCGTTAAATTATTACCACAACCTCCAAAACGTATAAACAGTGCGACAACACAAATAGATCATAAAATGAATAATCATGAAGATACATCTATTGAGCCAACTTTAGGAATTGGTGAATTAACAGATCACAACATAACTAATGAGCTTTCTAAATTAACAAGCAGTGATTTGAATGAATTAGGAAATTTCAAAAAAGCTATCACGTATTTACCAACTGACTCGAGGTGAGACAAAGTAAGCATCAGTCTATCAGGCTAATTCATTATCTTTTTACATTTAGGTAGTAAATTTCAGTTAACCATTGATTTAACACTATTGTAACTTTAAGAGTCAGTCTGTGTGATATGTGGATGAATACAAAATACGTGTAAACGATGTTACTGAAAGATTATATATATATATATATATATATATATATATATATATATATATATATATATATATATATATATATATCACTAATAATATTATCCCGTTAAATAAGTTAGCACATATCTGAACTCATTCACCTAGTAGATTATAATGTTATGCACTATGCAAATAGTTATTGAACTTCTAACTACAGGGAATATCGAATCATCCACTAAATAACCTCAAATGCTAAAAGATATTGATCAAATTCATTCTTTAATATTCACATTGGGAAAATACAATCCTTTGTGAGTAATAGTAAATAATGAGTGGAAATTAGTGGAAGGACAAAAATAAGATCATATAATAGGAGGAACAGTTTCATTTAAATTATTTTTATAGAGGCTGGAAGGACCTTGACATGAACCCTTCCGTAAAAACATACTAAGTTGAAAACGCTTGAAAAGTGAAAGCAGTTATGACGGTGACAGCATAAAAATTCTTCCTCACTGTAACCTGAATTGATGTCTAGTACTTCTCTTGAAACACATGTCCGACTTATTGATTATTCAGATAAACAGGTTTAGAAGAGACAGCAAAACTTGGTTAGCAACAAATTTAAAATGTCGACTACATGATTGAGAGCTTGAAAAGTTTTATCAACTTTATATGTTAATTGATTCATCTGAAACGTGATTTCTGACATCCTAGTATAATGGACAAAATTACTTATTCTTTGGATAAGGTGTTTATATTCACTACGTAGATAGTTAATCATACGGAATAACTTCAACAGGACAACCAATACTAACTCTTACTCGATGGTTTAAAAGTAATGTGTTTCTAATAAAACCTGAACATTCTAAATTCAAATCCTGTTGACAGCACGAGTGTATACTTCTGAAGAGTATCAAACTATGATGAAACAACCGTTTAATATCCCCTAATTTTTAAAGGTTGTCTGATTGATATCACTACTCGATACAAACTATGTATATATCTTAATGCGTCCGTCAAATACAATGTAAACAGTTTATAAAATTATTTCAAACTATTTTACATTTTTATGTGAAAATTATATTTGAAATAATCTCAGCCATTGAAATTTAAATAATTCCAACATTTCGATTTTGATTTTGATTATTACTCTGAAGAAGTCCAGACAAGCTGGCTGGACGAAACATTGGAATTATTGTAAATTTCAATCACTGAGACTATTTCAAATATAATTTTCACATATAATGACTTCTCAAAACTCGGTGCCCAACCTCTGTTAAACTATTCGTTCTAATTTTGACGAATATTCGTATTTCACATTTGAATTGTTTAATTTTTTGTAAACAGTAATTCATTTGGTATTGTTTGGCTTGTATCTTCCCAGTGAGGTTTAAGACTGCAATTGATCAGTCCTTTATTGGCATATGTGCATACTGTGCGTATACTTCGAAATTGCTTTAATTCACAAGCATTTTGTAAGCAATGATGGATAGTGGCTAAAAGTGGAATTCAGGACGCTCGTTTTCGTCCTATTTGGGACTCGTCAGCTGAATGCATCTGCATCTCAGAGTTGATGTTCACTCTGGGACTCAAACCCAGTACCATCCGCTTCAAACGCCATCGCGTTATCCACTTAGCTACTGATTCCTGATAGCCACTTGCTTGTGCAATGGGGTGAATTTAAATTCACTTGGTATTGTTTGACTTGTATCTTCCCATGCAGGTACATCCAGCTGACGAGTCCCAAATAGGACGAAACGCGCGTCCTGGATTCCATTGCTAGCCACTATCCACCATTGCTTACACAAAGTAATTCATTTGTTATAACCATACTAATGAAATAACTGTAAATTTTATTCCAAAAATTACAGTTTGAATCCACAATTTTTATCTAAAATAAACAATAATAAACAAACTAATGACCAATGTAAATGTGAACATATAACTGAATCAAATTTATTAGAATCTTTTATTACTTCAGAAGAAATACTTATTTCATCAACAGATGATGATGATGGCGATGGCAATGATGATGTTGATGATGATTATGATGAATGTACATCATTAAAATTAAATAAAGCATTATTGAAAAAATCAAATTCTATACGTAATACCACTAATAATAATAAAAATTTTTATTCATTAACCAATAAAGGTTCAACATTAACAATAAATAAAGATAAATTAGTGATGTATATTAAGCGTAGTTTTAAACATACAAAATGAAATATTCAAAATTCAATGTTTCATAGGGGTGGGGTTGTTTTTTTGTTTATTCACATTCGAAATTGGTTACTATTCATGATGAATAAGAATTTTCTCGTTCAAAAATAAATAAGAAGAAAAAGAAAAGAAAAATATAGAAAAACTTATTTCCTTATACAGTTTGTTAATTTACAAAATGTTAAATACATAAAGCTTATTTGTTTTTGTAATTCAAATATATTTTAATAATTAACAAAATTGCTACCATATAAATTACATAATTCATTTAAAGATTTTAAACAAAGAAAAAATATGACGCTCTAAAAGCAGCTTGTTTAAAATATGTATGTAATTGAAAGAAGAAACAAAAATAGAATACACCATACTTATTACGTAATATTTGTTCCTGAGTTTTCTTATTTAAGGAACAATACATTATAATTTCTTTCTGTTCTTTTGTTTTCGAATAGTCAAAATATATATTCATTTTCTGATTACTCATTTTTGATCTTTATTTTTTCCAGCTTTACTGGTTAAAATAACTACCAGTGAGACGTTTTGTTCTTTCTGTTTTTGTTTCTTTGTAAACAAAATAAATTTGTTTGAATTTTCAATTTTCGTTTGTTTTTTTAAGTGTAAATATATTTTAAATGATCATATAAAATACAACATATTGAGCATTTTCAAAGAATCAACATTGTTTTCTCTTTATAATTTTGTTTGGTCAATTTTAGACATCAGCTACAAGGTAGGACCAGGCACATATGTGCACCGATTCAAGTTACCATACCTTATTAGTATAACAAGATGAACACTAAATTCATAGAAGTAGTGAATTCAATGGTGGTTATATATAATAAAAAGATTGCATATAAGAACATAGTACAGGAAGAAAGAATTGGTTAGTTAATTTTAGAAAGAAAAAATAATTTGTATAAAGCAGTTTGATGTTAACATTTTGTCATATTAAATGACTTTATTAAAAAATTATTCATTATTCAACAAGATATACAGTGTCAAATAGTTGTAGTCCTTTTTCAATTTGCTTCATTGTTTTTAATCTTGAAGATGGTGATAGTTTCAAAGCTTCGAGTTGATCAGCACTCTAGTTATATGTTTTCAGAAATTTGCCAGATTTCACGAAATAAAGATACTTAACTTAAAAATTCCTAGACAAGGAAAATGATGAAACAGGCTACCTCACACAAAATGTTGCTACAATGAAATACAAAGCGTTATTATCGACTTGCTTTCAACTTGATCTATTCGGTTAGAAATAAAAGGTTAGTGACAAATTTTAACAGGAAATAAGGATTTACTGAATTTCAGAATGTATTAACCCTTAAAAATTCACCATTTCATACTAAATGTAGTTCAGAATGAAACTTAATATGAACCAGAATTTTATTGATGTCATATGTTATCAAAATCAGAAATGACTGAAGACTTAATCATGATGTTTTCTGGATCTCTTTAACCAATACTAGACATGTTTCTTGTCTATTTAACCTCAGGAAAAATCATATGTTAGTTAAAATTGATGAATGTAAAAATTAATATATTATCTTGGCCATATCGAGGAATGTGAAATAAAAACATACCTATGAAACTGAGAGTACTTGATTTCAGTTTATCTAATTTATTGAAATAGTTTATTCCCATGACCTTAAAAAACAACTTTGCAAGGAAGGTCAAAAATGATTATTAATTAGATAGGTAATGCAGTAATACTCATCACGAAGTAACCAAAAGTTGAAAGACAGAACCCTTACTTATCAAACAATCATAAAGAATAATTTAAAAATTGAGTCAACTTAGCAAAAAACTTATCTAATCCGAGGTTGTCAAGATATGTAACCAGATCATTTACAAATAATGTATCGATTGTATCCTTATGCAAAGCTAAGCCAGAATATTCTTTCTTGTTTCATTGAAAGTAAAATGTATTTACTCAATTGCGTAGCTCGGTGAACAAATCATTAAAATTATGCAACCGAACAAATGAAAGTTTCCAAATATATTCATAGTAATTTATCAATAGTACATTAATAGTGTTTGTTGCCCTTATTATCCTCAAAATTTATATTAATTAATGAAATAGTCCTTAGGAAACAATCAACAGAATGGTACCGTTTTAAAGTTGAATCCAATTTGCATTATTTGTTTGAATCTTCCGATTGATGTTTAGGACTTCAATTGATCAGTCTCTTATTGGCATGTGTGCATCCTGTGTAGATTGCCTCGACATTGCCTTAAGTCACAAGCATTCTAAGCAAAGATAGATGGCGGCTAGCAGTGGAATCCAGGACGCGCGTTTCGTCCTATTTGGGACTCGTCAGCCTGACGCACCTGCATCTCAGAGTTGATGTTCACTCTGTAACTCGAACCCAGTACCGTTCGCTTCAAATACCATCCCGCATCCTGGATTTCACTGTTAGCGACAATCCACATTTGAAAATTATTTTAAAACACTTTACACAGAAGCAGAATTTGAATGTGGCTAAATGAAGTTACACTTAAATAAGCTTAAATATTATGTGATTACTTAAGAAGTTAGAAATCAATTTAGAGAATTTTATACTCCATTTTGACTCAAATAATTTCTATTCCTGTTAATTAGCAAGGCTTGCTTATTATTATCATTCACGTAATTATTTTAATAAATTATACAAAAACTCTTCTAGCTTCTTATAAGTACTCTCTTCGCTATTGAATTGAAATACATTTGATCATGTTGATGCGATACTCAACTAATTTTTTCCAGTAGAAAAATAGATTCCAAGACTTAAGTGGGATATATTTACCGGCAATAAAATTCCTATTATTGAATAGAAACGCAACTCTTTGGTTGCTTTATGACATTTATTGATACACATGCTTGTCTATTCATCAGTGTGAGAGAATTGTCACGTCAGATGCAGTGTCTATTTGCAATCTAAACGGATGCCCTTCAATATTAAGGGTATTAAATTTCCTCTCACCTGGGGGTGAGCTCTGATAGGATCTAGGAACAGGCTTTCTGGTACTTCTGGAGCTATTCGGCTTTTTTTGACAGAATCCCTCTTTATGGCCCACAGCTTTACACTCCCTGCCCTGATGTTGTTTATAAGGGCAGCTTCGAACATAATGCCATGCATCTCAGTGCCAGTATGGAGCAGTAGAATTTGTTTTCGCCTGTTGGACTGGACTATGTGTAGCTGGGTCGGGTGGTTGTTGGATTGTATGTACTTCAGTATTATCAGAACCAACACGTTGGACTATCGTAGTATCGTGTTACAGATTTATTAGATGTTGATATTCATTTGCGATATCATTGAGAGTCAGTTTGGGGTTTTGGTCTAATCGACTGAGCAGCCGTGTTCTGATGTCACTGAACTTCTGCGATTGGAGACTGAAGATTAGAATAAGGGCTTTGAATTGATCTTCAGTCAGCGACTTCAACCGGGAGCGTTCGCATTCGCGGTTGACGATACCCACATGTGTAGGAAAATTAGCGTATTCGTTTATAGTCAGCTTCCAACATCGATAGTGCGCGTTGAAAAGTGAAGAATTATCTCCGAACTGTTGGCTCAATGACTGGACGGTGTCCGAGAATGAGCGATCACGTGGGTTTAGAAGCAGAACTAAGTTAATATATCTATCTAGTTCACTGAAACCCAGCTTCCGAAGCAGCAAGCGAACTTTCCAAGCGTCAAATCAAATTTGAATAAGTTTTCATAACGCCGAAACCACATATCAAATGTGACATTAGATTCAGGATTGTAATTGGACTCAGCGATACTGTTCGCGATACCATCAACTGATGATGCAGTAGTAATAGGATTAGAAGTGTTTGGTTGAGTGTTAGACGTAAGTTTTGCATCAGCTAACATCTGTATAAGTTTAAGCTGCTGCTCAAGCAATGTTAGGATTTGAAAAGAGAGCTATCACGGGTTCACGTAGTTTGCGAACGAGATCGAGATTCGGTGACCAACGACCAGTGAGCTAACTATTGACGTGTCCCAGCCCCAGCTATCTAGAAGGAGAAGTCCAGGCTTGAAATGAGAAGTATATTCTGCGACAACCAGAAAACGAGCAATTCTTTTTACAAGACAATTTTAATAACGTATATATACAAATATATATATATATATATATATATATATATATATATATATCGATGTTGCCGTGGAGCTTGTAAACATTTAATCGATATTTCGTCAGTTGACTGTCGTTGAAATATTTAAACATTAATCGATAAATTCGTCAATCAACTATGTGGGTGGTAAGAAATGCCCACGTATACATCTGCATACAAGCTCCGCAAGATAAAATTACAAACTATGAGTTTTTGGGGATCTATCGTCCCCAGCAAGCAATAATTCCATTTTTGAGGGATCCATGTTTGCGCCAACCTCGTCGCCAAATTCGCTATGTTTGGAGCAATTACGAGTTCACCTAGTCTGTGAACGGAACAAAGACTCTGTGACCAAAGACCAATAAGCTAGCTATTCTGGTGCGTCCCAGCCCCGCTAACTAAAGACAGAAGTCCAAATTCAAACGAGGAAATATATCCTTCAAGCAGCCAGAAGCACAAGCCCTCGTCTAGTCCGAAATACACTCATTTATACATTGGTCTGTACACCCACTTTTGATTAATAATCAGAACAAATCACATATATGGAAAATACTTCATACAAGAATATCATATGTAATACATAATAAAACGTCATAGGGGGAAACGAAACAAATACTATACTGAGTGATCATCAAATTGATTTAAACGAAAATAATGTAGAATAAAAATCATAATGAGTGAATCAATCTAATTTTGATCTTTCATCCTGTCATAACACTTTCGGTAGGGAAATATTCGCTATTCACTTAGCGGTTAAACATTCGCTTCAAGGTAAAGATTTCGTGATACTAACCGGTCACAAACTTTTGGCCTCAAAACTAGAATTCTTCGCAGCACTAGAATCATCACTCAAAACTTCTGGATTCAGTGAGGAAACACAACAAGAAATAAGGCAAACTATAGTACCGATAACGCGACAGGTGAAGGGAAACAACTAACTGACCCCACAAGAACAAAAAGCCTTGAAGGAACTTAGAACTAGAAAGGATATTGTCATAGTTCCAGCCGACAAAAGATGCACAACAGTAATTATGGACAAGGAGGAATACCTCAAAAAGGCCGAAAAACTACTTAAAGATAAGAACACATACAAACTGATAGATATAAATCCTGTCAAGAAATTGGACAACAGAATCTCAAATACATTAAACAAGCTAGTCAAATCAGGAGAAATAACAAAACAAGACCAATGGAGAATGAAATCCAATGGACCAGTACTCCCTCGATTCTACGGCAGATCAAAAATACACAAACCAAACATTTCACTACGTCCAATTTTAGCACTGCCCGGGACGCCAACATACAATTTATCAAAAGAAACATTTAGTCGATTCATCCAACCACTCTGTCAAATCCCCTACACAATTCCTGAATCAAATTAAGGACATTCAAATCAAAAACGACGAACTAATGATATCCTTCGATGTAACAGCATTATTCACCTCAATTGAACCAAGGTTAGCAAAAGAAACTATATCCCTGCTCCACGCCAACGACACAAATCTCACAAAGTACACAAAGCTTCAAATTCAAAATCTGCTAGAACTCATAGATTTATGCCTAACAACATATTT